ATAAAATATTATTTAATTTTAAAATTTTTTATTGGACTTTTGGGGTTCCAAAACATTTTAATTTGTCTCAGTTTAGCTCTATTGCTCACTCTATAACTATGACTTTAATAAAATATTATTGTTTTTTTATGTGTGAAATATTTTATTCTAAAATATGGTTTTCCTCCTTCACCACTCCTAAACTCCTTCATTGACCTTAATTGGTTTTAATCTTGTCCTTAAAGTCATATTAACTACCATTTTAGGACACAAGGTGTTACCAAAATCATTCTTGAACATGAGCTAGTAAAAAGATTACCTAAATGTCTTCCCAAAAGCTGAAAACCTAAAGTCACAGCTATTCAAGAAGCTAAAGATCTCAATGTGATCACACTTGATAAAATTTGTGGCTCACTCCTTACACATGAACTTGAAATGAAAGAAAAAGAAGAGAAGGAAAAGAAAAAAGCCAAAAAGAAGAAGAAAAATTTAGCACTCAAGATTAGTTTATTTTAGGAGGAATTAAAAGAACTATCAATTGATGATGATAAAGAACAAGCCATGATGGCTAGACGATTTAGAAAGCCAATGGGACAAAAAGGTAGAAAGTTTGGAAGAAAGAATTACAAAAAGGATCAAGGTCTTTTTTAGAAAAACAAGCATAAGGGTGATTTCAACGAGAAGGATGAGATGGTGTGTTTTGAATGCAAAAAATCAAGACATTTCATATCAGAATGCCCATTACTCAAAGAAAAAACCTCAAAGAGAATAAAAAAACCAAAAAGAGCAATGGTGGCTATAAGGACCTCTTCCCTCAATCGCTACCGGTGTTCAAGACTTGCGAGTGAACCCATCAAATCCCAAATAAGCCTTAGTTAAACCTCCAGGCAATTTAAACTCAAATTACAATTTCAACGCCATAGTTCATTTAAACCAAATAATCACAACATTTAAAACTTGGCATCTAGAAACTAATAACCAGGTTTGATAATTCCATACGATTTCAACATAATATGTAGTAGTCATTACATAACCTTAAGCTCTAGCTAGCACATTTCCAGTACTATTATTCATTACAAGCCTGACGAGTTGACACAAACCGACCTCTAGGCAGTGAAGCAACTCTGAGTGAAAGTCTAGAGATGTCATTACCTAGGTTGTTGCCAGCCTCGAGATGCTGAACAAAGCACTATAACTGATTACTTATCTACAAAAGAAAATAAGGAGGGGTGAGTCTCATAGACTCAGCGATCATCAACTCCGTGAGTAAGGTGTAGATGGGAAACAAACTAAAGGCAAAAGATTTTAATATTAAAAATGTAAGAATATATGTAAACAATTTACTCAAAAAGGAAGGTTTGTGCCTTATATGAA